TTTCCTGCTGAAATCCTTTGACCACTAAACGGGCTTTATACCGTTTAGACCCATCGTGCTCTTCTTTGATCCTGAACACCCATTTATTCTGTAATGCTCTCTTACGTCGCGGAAGCTTAGCCAAAACCCATGTTTTGTTCTTTTTTAGAGAGCTCATCTCGTCCTTCATTGCATGCTCCCACTGGAGAGAATCTTTCATCTTGACTGCCTCGGAGTAACTTTCTGGCTCATCATTTTCTGTCAAGAGAATATAATTAACTGAAGGAGTATATCTATCTGGCTTCTTTGTAACTCTGGTGGACCTCCTGATCAGATGGGGATTGTTCATCTTCAGACTCCGAACTCCCACTGTCAGAGGCTACCTTTGACTCATCATTTCCACTGACTTCAAACTCTGGAACTGTGTTGACAATTGTTTCAGTTTCTTGTTCGGAAACCGGTTCAGGAACCAGTTTAACTCCCTGCTTTTCTGCTCCTGTGTCAAACTCAACCTGCTGTTTTTGAACCTTAGAGTTTGATTCCTTTCTGTCTTTGTACAATTCAGCCTCATTGAACGTCGCATGTTTACTCCTGACTACCTTTTTGCTTTCAAAGTCCCAAAGCCGGTAGCCCATCTTGTCTGATCCATAGCCAATGAAGGTGTACTTCTTGGCCTTTGCATCTAGCTTATCACCATCTTGATTCAAATCATAAGCATTGCACCCGAAAACCTTTAGGTGCTTATAATCAACAGCTTTACCCTTCCATTCTTCTTGAGGTACTTTGAAACCCAACAGAACTGAAAGCGATCGGTTGATAAGGTAAGTAGCAGTGTTAACTGCGTCTGCCCAAAACATCTTCGGGAGCCCTGCATTTATTCTCATACTTCTGGCTCTCTCGTTTAGAGTTCTATTCATCCTTTCTGCGACTCCATTTTGTTGAGGAGTGCGTGGAACAGTCTTTATCATCCAAAGGCCTCGTTCAGCACAATAGTCCATGAACTCTGTGCTAATGTACTCCCCTCCGTTGTCCGATTTCAAACATTTCACCTTCAAACCAGTTTCAAGTTCAACGGCAGTTTTCCATTTCTTAAAAACATCAAATACTTCGTATTTACTTTTAAGAAAATAAACCCATACCTTGCGTGTGGCATCGTCTATGAAGGTCACATAGAATCTCGAGCCTCCCA